GAGAAAGGGAGAGAAAGAGCTGGGTAGGATAGAGAGAGAGAGCTGGGTGAGGTAGAGAGAGAGAGGAGGATGCCCAAATGAATTCAACAAATGATGCGAGAGCATATTTTTTTTTTATTTTAAACATAATTTGCGGGCGAGTCATGCGGTTTCGCGGGTAGGGTCGGATTTGACCCGAACCCGATTTTGTATGGAAAAATTGACCCGCACCTGCCCTACTTATGTATGCGGGTAGGGTTAGATTTGTGCAGGTAGAGTCGGTTTGGGCGGGTTGTGCGGGTCGGATAAACCATTGCCCACCCCTACATGAGAGGTGCCTTTTCAAAAATTGTATTGAGATTCTTTTGTTTTTTAATAGGGTCATATCCAATGTCTGCTTTATCGAAAACACATATTTGATTTTCAAGAAGTATGTTGAGATTATTTCTACCTTTTACAAAATTTTCAAGTGTTTTTGTTAAATCATCAATATTGTTTTTTAAAGCAATTTTCTCATTAGAGATAGTATCAAAATCATTTTTCAAAACAATTTTTTCTTTCTTTAATTCTTCTACATTAATAGATAAAGATGCAATAAATTTCTTCAGCACATTATTTTTGGCACAAACTTTTCTAAATTCATCTTGTAGTCATAGAATGAACTTTCAAGTTCTTCATAAAAAGTAGTTACCTCATCTTGAGTAGAGTCTTCATCTTCAAGAGCCATGAGACATAAGTTGGCTACTTCATTTTTAACTTCATCACTTGAGCTTTCATCTTCACTTTCTTCCCAAGATGCTACCATGGCCTTTTTGTTTCTTTTGTAGTCTTTTCCATGATTCTTCAATTTTGGACAATCCATCTTCATATGTCCAAGATTTTTGCACTCATAGCAAATAATAAGTTCTTTTTTGTTATATTTGTTGTACTCTTTCTTGAAAGGTCTTTTTCTTCCATAATTGTTTTTCTTGAAGTGCTTTTTGAGATTTCTATTAAACATGTCATAGCTTTCATCCTTACTGGAGTTTTCATGTTCTTCGCACAAACTTTTCTAAATTCATCTTGTAGCTCATGGAATGTACTTTCAAGTTCTTCATAAAAAGTAGTTATCTCATCTTGAGTAGAGTCTTCATCTTCAAGAGCCATGAGACATAAGTTGGCTACTTCATTTTTAATTTCATCACTTGAGCTTTCATCTTCACTTTCTTCCCAAGATGCTGCCATGGCCTTTTTGTTTCTTTTGTAGTCTTTTCCATGATTCTTCAATTTTGGACAATCCATCTTCATATGTCCAGGATTTTTGCACTCATAGCAAATAATAAGCTCTTTTTTGTTATATTTGTTGTACTCTTTCTTAAAAGGTCTTCTTCTTCCATAATTGTTTTTCTTGAAGTGCTTTTTGAGATTTCTATTAAACATGTCATAGCTTTCATCCTTACTGGAGTTTTCATGTTCTTCTTCATTTGATGAAGCTTTGAATGTAATTTCACTTTTCTTTTTGTTTTCAACATCCTCATGTCTTTTCATGGTGATCTCATGAGTCATAAGGGAACCCATAAGCTCATCAAATCTAAGTTTGGAGAGATTTTTGGCTTCTATAATGGTCGTGACCTCTGCTTCCCAATTCTTTGGTAAACACCTAAGAATTTTTCATACCAACTCACTGTTAGTATAAGTTTTGCCAAGAAATTTTAAAGAGTTTACAATTTCAGTAAATCTAGTAAACATACTTGAAATAGATTCATCAGAGTTCATTTTAAACAATTTATAACTATGAACAAGTATATCAATACGAGATTCCTTCACTTGGTTTGTACCTTCACACGTTACCTCAAGTTTGTCCTAAATTTCTTTTGCCGAATCACAATTTGAAATTCTATTATACTCTTTAGAGTCTAATCCACAAACAAGGGTGAGTTTGGCTTTAGCATTGACTTGCAATAATTTATGATCCATCTCATCACATTCATCTTCAGTTTTAGGTACACTAATATTGTCTACTAATTTGGTAAGAAATTTTGGACATTTGGTGACAATAATCCACATGGCATAATCAGTGGCTTGTAGGTATAGGGTCATCTTATCCTTCCAATAACTATAGTTGTTTCCGTCAAACAATAGTGGTCTATTTGTGGCTTGTCCTTCAGCTAAGGTTGTTATGGATCAAAACTCCCAGATGGTTAAATCTAAAATAAGAGTCTAGGCTCTGATATCAATTCTTACCCAAAAGACAATCAAAGAAGGGGGGTGAATTAGGTTTTTATAAATAAAAATAATAATACCCTAATAAAAGATTATGACTAGCACAATAGATAAATATAGTTAATGAAATAAAAATAATTAAAACAAGTGTTCTAAAAACTATGTCAGTTAATAATTTTAGCACAGTGAAAATGTGAAATATAGCTATGACAATTTAAATAAAATAAAGAGATAAGGGAGAGAGAGGCAAACAAATTTATAGTGGTTCGGTTTCAACTCGGCCTACGTCCACTCCTCAAGCTTTATTTGAGATTTTTTACTATACTTTCGCTTCACAGGGTACTAGCAACCTTTTCACAGATACAGCAATCCTCCACAGATTTTACATAGATTTTCTAAGTCAAGAACACTGAGTGTACTACACTCTTACAAGGTTGAAAAGAATGTGTTTTTGCTTTCACAGAAAGTTACAAGAATTATCTCTCAAAGATAGATATAAAAATGAAGCTCTGATTTATCTGTTAGCCTCACACATGAAAGATGAGTTTAAAACTATACGTCTCAGTGTATAATTTCTGAAAGAGAATGTAAACAAAAATTAAAGAACACTTCTCAGAGAATTTTTCAGAGAATAGATGTAAGTGATTATAGATCAAAAAATATTTTCTAATTTTTTTTTTGTGTGACTTGTTTACATTAGAGGTTTTGGTATATATAATGAAATTTATAGTCGTTTATAGCCGTTGTCCACCATCATTACTAATTCGAATATCTTCCACTCCATCATTACTAATTTGAATATCTTCTATTTGAACCTTTTGGCCTGCTGCTGTGCTGGGCTGTTTGAACCTCTAGTTTGGACATTATTTTTAGGTTGAAATGAACTCTTGACTTAAGTAAATATTAAATACATTTAAACAATATTTAGGATAAAAGTTTAGGTGAGAAATAATGGGACAAAATAAATTTTGATTCTATTTTTCTCTTTCAAATAAATTAAAACATAATTTAAATAAATCCTCAAAATAAATTTTGGATTCTATAAAAACATAATTAAATAAATCATCAAAAGAAATTGTGGATTTTATTTTTCTTTTTCAAATAAATTAAAATTAAATAAATCATCAAAATAAATTTTAAATTCTATTTTTCTCTTTCAAATAAATTAAAACATAATTAAGTAAATCATCAAAATAAATTTTAAATTCTATTTTTTTCTTTTAAATAAATTAAAATATAATTAAATAAATTATCAAAATAAATAAGTCTAACCGATATAAATAAAGGGGATTACAGGAAAGAGTATGGCTTCTGTCCAGTCCGACTGGATCGGACTGGACTGTGCTGTTGGGCCTGTGGAGGCCCACCGCGGGTCCCGTTTTGATAATCTGAACCGTCAATGTGTAGAACTCGTCGAGTACTATATGTTTGTAAAAAATCACGTTGATTGGATATCGATAGTTATATGATCAAATCAATTTCGTATTAAAAAAATTGGACGGTGAACAAATTAATGGTTGACAAAAAAACTGTTTTGATCACATAGCTATCGATATCCGATCAACGTAATTTTTTTACAGGCATATAATACTCGACGATTTCTACACATTGAATGATTTAGATTATCAAAACGGGACCCGTGATAGGTCCCCACGGGTCCAACAATACGGTCTAATCCGATCCCGAACTGGACAGAAGCCATACCCTTACAGGAAAAGTGTAGCTAAGGATAGAGATAGCACGGTTGAGTAGGGAAAAGATAGTTCCAAGTTATAGAGGCCGGAAGAAAGAGATGCAAAATGAAAGAAATCGAAGAATATTGACAAATAAGGGGCACTTTAGTAATTGTAATGGTAAATTTTGTAATATTTTTTTGATATCCCACTCTCTTGTAAATATTTATTTCAAATTTTATTTGTTTGTAATCCTTAAAGGCAAAATAGTAAATGAACTTAAATTGAGAAGTTTGGTGAATTAAAAGAAAAAAAATATATATATATATAGAGAAAATCTCTCATCATTCGTTTCGATGTTTAAAATAATAAAAAATTATACAAAATAAATCTTTCATGTTTTGTTCCTTGTGGTGTGGTTTTGTAAGATATGAAAGTTACTATTTAGAAAAGTTTTATAATATCTAGAAACCTTACCAAAATAAATAAAATAAAAGTCATTATATGTTATTTTTTATTTATTATTCATCAAAATAAAAATATTTATTATTCATCAAAATAAAAATAATAAAAATTATACTTATTTATTTTCTTTATCATTTAAAACAAGAAATCATAATCTTATGATTTATTTTTTCACCTATTACAGCTAATTAAATAGTTAAAATTTAATTTTTAAAAATTCAAATTTTCATTTAATTTTTTATTAGAATTGAATTTGATTTTTTTTATTTAAAATTTATCCAAATATAATTAACAGTACGAAATACATTTTTCACCCAATGTCCATGCAACCCATGTTATCATTTGAAAAAAAAAGAAAAAAATTTATTGAAGAAACCCTCAAAGTTTGATTCTTTTAATTTAAATTTTAATCTAAAACATGTTTTAATTACTAAAAATGTCTTAAATATTTTTTTTGTTAAGTTCAACGACTAAAATATTATTTTTTTGTTAAATTTACATAACAAAAATAGATGAATAACTTAGATTAAAAATTAATTAAATAATTAGAATTTAAATTGATAAAATTAAAATTTTATATTTATTTTTTTATAAATGTTAAATTATTATTATTATTATTATTATTATTATTATTATTATTTTTTTTTTTTTAAAAAAAAAGAAGAAGAAGAAGAGGAAGAATCCGACACAAATTTCCCTCACCTATTTGCCTATTTCCCTCCCCCTCCTTTGAGTCGAAGGTGCCATATCCATGCGGAGAGAGCTCTCTTGTTGTGATCGAATAGCTTTTGTCGACAAGCTTCACTCTCATCCCATTCCTAGATTCCAATATCTGCTCTTTCAATCTCTTTACACCTTAAATTACACTGTACTACCCAATTCAAAGGTTTGTACTTTACTCTGAATTTATATCTACACGACAAGTATCTCAGTCACTGCCAAGGGTGCTTCCTTAGATCGCGAGGGAGACTCGTTTAATTGCTTTCTCGATCCAATTCGACCGATGGGTCTGTTTATGATTTCTGGTTATTTCGATTTTTTGATTTATTAGAGAAAAACTAAAACTCCAACTCAATAGTTCCGTGATCCAATCCGAGTGATGGGTGGTTTTGAAGCGAGACTCGTTTCATTCCTTTCTTGATCCAATTTGAGTGATGGGTTGGTTTTGATTCTGATTCTGATTCTGATTATTGGGTTTGTTTCGAGAAAAACTCCAGCTAAATCATTCCATGATCGAATCCGAGTGATGGGTGGTTTTGAATTGGTTCTCCGGCGGTGAATTGTGGAAGGAAGCGGCGGAAGATGCGGCGGCGGGCGGCCGATTACCGGCGCCCGGTTCGGAGGAGGTATTCATGTTGGATCTGGGGGCTTCTTGTGATTATCGCAGTTGCTGGATTTCTTTTGTTTGTTGTTCATCACTACCATCGCCATGAAGATCGGGTCGAACAGCCAATACTGGTAAGACACAGATCTTACTTCAATTTTGATTTTTATTTTCATGAAAATAATTTGTTTTCCCCCTTGTTTTTCTTGCAACTCATATAATCTGATATGTGATATATTGTGGATTGGATGCTCTGTTTATGTGAATTTTGAAAGAAAAAAAGTAATCGCTAGTTTATAGTTTCAGACTAATTTGCTCTGGTGAAGGTCTATGAGGGTTTTCAGTTGATGGTTTGAACATCATAATTTGGCGTGCAGGCTCTAATGAGTGTGGAGATTTAGGCTCTGTGTTTGAGTCTTGGATTTGGTGAGGGATTTGTTTTCAAATTCAAGATCCAAAGGCAGCCGTAGTTTTTTGTTTCCTTAGCTCTTTGAGTGACAGTTGTAATGTGGACCTACGGTTTTTTACCTTAATTTTTGTTACTCAGCTGTCAACTTATTATGTCATGGCTAGGCAGGAGTTCACTTGCAGATTCAACGTCATTAGATATTTATCTGTAACACAAATTAGGCAGAAATCATTACAATAACGTTGGAAAAACTGGATTTTTAGTTGGTTGACCCACTTAGATGTAAAGCTCTTTAGGGCTGTTGAATTGATTTCTTTCCAAAAGAGACTTGATTGTTTCATTTTTGAAGGCACTGATATGTTTTTAAGGTCACTAAGTTCCCAATGAGGAAAGGGCCTTAAGTAAAGTATTTATTGCCACCAAGATATTTTATTTTTATATGTTGGATCACCAAACTATAGAGCACCCCATGTTTGTATAGATTTTCTTATTTTCATAGAATCTAAATCGATTCATTTTATTTTTTTTTACTATTCCTGTTATTTGGGATGATAGGATGGAATTCATATCACTATAGGGACCATGTACCCATCCAGTTTTAGGTGGTCCTATGGTCTATATCAGTTTTAGGTGGTCCTACGGTCTATATCTAAGTGAAGGTGTTTCTTTCTTTCTTCCTTTTTTCTTTTTTCTCTTCTCAATTAGATTCCTTATAAAGTGTCTATGTCTCTTTTTTTTGTCTACAAACCAAAAAGGAGAGGATTCTCTGTCAGAAGGACAATAATCCATAACCCTTGAATTGTCCTTGTAATCATAGATTGTGGGTTAAGATTACTTTAAAGCATGAAAGCATAATAAGTTTTGAAGTCTTACCCTAGCTAAAACAATCTTGAGTGCCCAACTACTAAATGATGAATGGTTGAAATTCTGACTAAATATGAATAACATGATACTTATAAGCCTCCTCTCTCTCTCTCTCTCTCTCTCTCTCTCTCTCATTTAAGGGGGCATAATGTTTGCTTTGACTGGTTGTTTGATATAACCCATAGTTTCAAAAAATTAAAACTGTAATGTTGCATATGGATTTTGTATTTTACACTTACCTTTTAAGGGAGCATATCTCTGATCTAAATGTGGCTTATATCGAAATTAGCTTTTGGTTATGCTCATTTGAATCGATCAATCCAAATGCAACCCAATAATTGACATTGCTTCTTAGGATTTAATTTTCTATGTCTGCTACGCTTAAGCTTTTCACATGATTACATAATAAGAGAAGCCCGTTTTTAAGGAGTAGGCTCTTGAAATAAATATCGAGTGCCCCCCTTCTACTGATTCTAATTTTCCTGTAAAGAAATAGATTCAGAAAACTAAATTTATTTATTTACTGTGTAGTGTACTAGAATAGAACCTCATCAAAATTTCAACTTCTTTTTTTCACCATAATTGCATTTCATGCTGTGAAGTTTTCATGAACATTGAACTATAAGTGATCTGCTTGCCCCAAAAAACCTGGACCAACTATGTAGATTGCATTTCAAATATTATATCGAAGCAAATATTATATTGAAAGAACTATGTAGATTGCATTTCAACTATGTAGATTGCCCCAAAACAAATATTATATCGAGATTAGTTTTCATGCTGTGAAGTTTGCATTTCAAATTCTTTAGTTCCTGGTCCTATTATAGCTCTTTATTATGTAGATTGTCAATTGCTAGAATATTTGTTTTTCCAATATATAAGTGGCACATGCTATTTTTTCCTCCATCTGGTGTGCTTGAGATGTAATAATCTAATTTGTAGAAAGTGTTCACACCCGCTTTGTGAAAATCGTGAAGATTAGTGCCTATAGAATTATGCTTGGGACCCCCTTTTGAGGGTCACCCCCTCACCCCCCTTTAAGACATTTTATTATGTAGATAGTCAATTGCTAGAATATTTGTTTTCCCAATATATAAGCGGCACATGCTATTTTTTCCTCCATCTGGTGTGCTTGAGATGTAATAATCTAATTTGTAGAAAGTGTTCACACCCGCTTTGTGAAAATCGTGAAGATTAGTGCCTATAGAATTTTGTTTTCCTACAAACATCAGTCACAGATTAGTACTGTAACCCAAATACTACACAGCTGCTGACATCATCATTATTTTAGCCTCTGCCACCTCTTCTTCAGTGTGACTGTCACCACCATCACTGCTTGTGCCAAAATGAATCCCTTCACCGTTGTTGCTGCCACCGCCATCATTATTGATTTCTTCCTATATATTTTGAATCACCCTTCACCATTGCTGCTACCAGTGCCAGCATTAGTTATTATTACAGTTTTAGAATCATTTAAAAACTCAATTGTTTAGGCACCAATGGATTGTTTATGAATTATGGGTTTCAACTGTATAGCTTACTATGCGAAATGCAATCATTATATTTCACTCTCAGAGGGGAATTAATTATTTAACAATTTAGTTTGGCACATTCCATTCCACATGATATCTTATTTGATGATTCATAAAATGTAAAGCAGATTTATATCCTTTTCAATTTACAGTGTTGTCAAATTGGTTAAACTCTGATTTTACATGGCTGACTGAATTTAATAATTTTGATGGAATGAAGGCATTTCCTTCTAAAAACGAGGGAAAACTTTTTAGTGGTCTATTTCAACAATGTGAGTTCACAAGACATTTTTTCTCAATTGGCGTAGGTTCTATCCTGAAATTATGGAGATTTGCTAGGTTTAAAGATATGCTGTTTTAGGATAATTTCCTAACTTATATGCATATAATTACGTGGATTTGATGTGGATTTGGAGCTACTTAGATAGAAATAAGATTAAAGGATATAGGGTCCATTAGAATTCGTAACATAAAGAAAAATAGGTGAGATAGATGTATCCAATGCTTAACAATAGAAATAGAGAGCTTAGGAAAAACTATGAACTTGAAAAAAAAGAAGTAGGTAGAGTTGCAGATCTGGAATGTTGAATTAGATGGAAGACTAAAGCATAAAATGATTTACTCTTGAACATGGATTGTTGCATGCGGCAAAAAAAACAAGAGAATGAATTTGGTATGCCACTTGGGATTGTGATAGTATGTGGATATAATTGTTTAAAAGCTCAGCTTGAAATTGATAGACTAATTCTGAATGTGGAGTAATTTTCTTGTTAGAAGATCAAATAAAGTTTTGTAAAGATGTACTGTTTGAAGCTCTTATTAGGGTAGATTCAACAAGTTTCTCCTCTTGAATCTACCAGATATGAACTAACAATGTAGGACACCTAGGGCCTTTGCCTTGAATTTCTGCCTCTAGAACATCACTAATGCTGTGTTTGGTTGGGGTTTTTGGGGTGGGATTTAGAAAAGGAATGAGAAATGTAATCCTATATATGTTTGGTTATAATAAAAAATATATGGGAAAAGAAAGGGGGTGAGAAATAAATAAAGAAATAGGAAATAGAGAGCTTAGGAAAAACTATGAACTTGAAAAAAAAGAAGTAGGTAGAGTTGCAGATCTGGAATGTTGAATTAGATGGAAGACTAAAGCATAAAGTGATTTACTCTTGAACATGGATTGTTGCATGCGGCAAAAAAAACAAGAGAATGAATTTGGTATGCCACTTGGGATTGTGAGAGTATGTGGTTATAATTGTTTAAAAGCTCGGCTTGAAATTGATAGACTAATTCTGAATGTGGAGTAATTGTCTTGTTAGAAGATCAAATAAAGTTTTGTAAAGATGTACTGTTTGAAGCTCTTATTAGGGTAGACTCAACAAGTTTCTCCTCTTGAATCTACCAGATAACAATGTAGGACACCTAGGGCCTTTGCCTTGAATTTCTGCCTCTAGAACATCACTAAGAGTTCTTCATCTCTGACAATCATTTTCCATTACTAACACCGCTTCACTAGTGCTACTGTTGCAAGCCAGTTGAGCCTTTGAAGAATTGTCTTTCGGTGAACCACACAACACATCAAATTCTAAAAGATAGCATGCAGGCACTGCAAGAACATGGCAACATTTTAATATAACTATATATGTTTATGCATAGTACATACGAAAATTATGTACTTTAATTTATTATTTCTACTTAAAATTGAAAAAAAAAAGAGTGAAGATGAGGCTCCACAAATATTTCATATATACATAACTCATACTTCTACTACTTGCTTTCTGACCACCTTTTTTTTAAATTTTTTTATTATTATTTTTTTTAAACTTCGTTGCCTACTTTATGTTGGTCATGCATGTCAATGTATTATTTTTAGGAAGTGTTTTAAGATGCATTTGGGGTGGTTGCATCCCCAAGAATGTTGTGTATTGCTCCTATCAAGAGATTCACCACATAAGTCATGTTAGAGAGTGTTCTCTAAGTGCCCAAAATTAAGAAAATTTATTTGTAAATTAGGACACGTGAAAGATAAGCCAACACATTTCTATGAGTGTCCAAGAAGTGTTGATACCCGACACAAGCATTGCTCCTCCATAGAAGTGTCTTCTACTTAGAGGTCCTCGCCAATGCATATGTATATGTCTGCTTGTTGGGTGTGGGTGTGGGTGTGGGTGTGGGTGTAGGTGTAGGTATAGGTGTTGGTGTGTGATGAACTCTATGGCATGTTTATTCATACAAGTAACTTATTAAATAGGAAAAAAAAAGAAAAAAGAAAAAGTCTACTGATATAAGTAAAAATAAATTTGAACATGGAAAAAGTATCAATAACTGTCATATCTATCTTTAGCACATGATCAAAGAAGTAACAAAATACGTCTAGTTTTTTATAACAAGACCTCAATTTGATTTGTAGAAAATCAATTTTAGCAATGTATATTTATATTTATTTGTTCGGCTGTACTGATACAATTAAATGTACGGTTCTTGGGAAATATCTATCTCAGTATTTGTTTGATATGTTCGTGGCAAATGGGGCCTTTTTGTACTCGCTTCCATTATGTTAGGTTGTGCTTGGATCAAAGATTTGAGGAGGAAAGGAAAAAGGAAGGGAAAAGTGAATGAAATAGAAGCTAAATTGTCTTCACTTATCCCATACCTTTTCTGTTCGTTTCTCAAATCCTTGTTCCAAACACAACCTTATGAAGATCTGTCAACTTTATCCTACTGTTTTGTGTACTATTAACATCTTTTTCATATAAACTCTACTTACTGAATATGTTAATTGATTGCCCATGATTTTTCAATCATCTTTGGAGGACTAACCGAGCATTTGATATCCTCTTCTTTCCAGGATAAAGATGCAAGATATGAACAGGTTACCACCCGTGAGCATCTAAATTTTACCGAAGAAATCCAAAGTGCTAATTCATATGCTAGGCAATTAGCCGAACAGATGACACTTGCCAAAGCTTATGTCATTATTGCAAAAGAGCACAATAACCTTCGTCTTGCATGGGAGCTCAGTGAGAAGATCCGAAGTTGCCAATTTTTGCTATCAAAGGCTGCCATGGCAGAGGAGCCCGTCAATCAAGATGAAGCAAAACCCATCATTAAAGGCCTATCGTCACTAATTTTTAAGGCCCAAGATGCCCATTACGACATTGCAACCACGCTGATGACATTGAAGTCCCATATTCAAGCCCTTGAAGAGCGTGCAAGCGCGGCAACAGTTCAAAGTGAGGTGTTTGGACAATTAGCTGCCGAAGCATTACCTAAGAATCTCCTTTGCCTAAATGTCAAACTCATGGCCGATTGGCTTAAGAAGAAGTCCCTACAAGATCTTGCGGATGAGAAGCGAAACTCTCCCCGTCTTGTTGACAACAATCTCTACCATTTCTGCATATTTTCAGACAATTTGTTGGCTGTTTCGGTTGTTATTAACTCAACTGTCTGCAATGCTGATCATCCAAAGCAGCTGATTTTCCATGTTGTGACAAATGGAGTGAACTATGGGGCAATGCAGGCTTGGTTCCTCAGCAACGACTTTAAAGGGTCGACAATAGAAGTGCAGAACATTGAAGAATTCAATTGGTTGAATGCTTCTTACTCTCCTATTTCAAAACTACTGCTTGAAACAGATTTGCGAGCGTATTATTTTGAAGGGTATGAAGATATGAAAATGGAACCAAAGCTCCGAAATCCAAAGCATGTATCTTTGTTGAACCACCTTCGATTCTACATCCCAGAGGTCTATCCCCAGCTTGAGAAAGTAGTTTTTCTTGACGATGATGTTGTTGTACAGAAAGAACTAACCCATCTCTTTTCATTGGATTTGCACGGAAATGTGAACGGAGCGGTTGAAACTTGTCTTGAAGCGTTTCATCGCTACTACAAGTATCTCAACTTCTCGGATCCAATCATTAGCTCGAAGTTTGACCCACAGGCTTGTGCTTGGGCGTTTGGCATGAACGTTTTCGATTTGATTGCGTGGAGGAAAGCAAACGTGACTGCTCGATATCATTACTGGCAGCAGCGAAATGCAGATAGAACACTCTGGAAGCTGGGCACACTTCCACCAGGCCTTTTAGCATTCTATGGACTGACAGAGCCACTTGATCGGAGATGGCATGTGTTAGGATTGGGTTACGATCCCAACATTGATAACCGTCTGATTGAGAGTGCGGCTGTAATTCACTTCAACGGAAACATGAAACCGTGGCTGAAATTGGCTATTAGCAAGTATAAGCCTCTATGGGAACGGTATGTAAATCAGAGCCACCCTTATCTCCAAGATTGTGTCACGAGTTGAAACGTTCACTCTCAATTACGGGTAAATTTTATGCATTTTGAATACGTTCAACTCTCCAAAACTGTAACCACGTTATTGTAGTGTCAGATGCAGAAAATTTTGGCCTCGTTAGGAGATTTTTTCTATCTTTTTTTCTATATAAATTTTTTTTTTTCGTTTTCATTTTGATATTTTGAAAAGATTCTCTTAGGGTAGAAAGAAAATTTGTATGAGGTGAAGGGGCTTGCGGTGATTGATTTTTTACACAGCTTTAGAATTGTTTGTTCTGTAGCAATTTTGTAATAATCTCTCAGCTCTTCTAAATTATATAAAGTAGTTGAATTGAACACAAATACTATTTTGTCTTTCTTTTTTTGAGCAATTTCTATGGCTCTCCAAGTAATCATGGATTTGAATCCCCTCCTTAAAACCTTTCTTGAAGGATTTGCTGTGAAGACTTTTGCTGGTTCTCCTAGTAATTTTAATTTTAATTTTAATTTTTTTTTTTAATATTCTAAAACAAGAAACAAAAACTTATTTTGTATATTTTTTTTGCTTTAAAAAAGTGAAAAAGGTATTTTTACTTCATTTTCAATAAGTTTTTAACTGTCAACCGCCACAGGCCATCGGCAGTTGATGGCTGAATGGCAACTGTCGGTGACCCTTTGGCGAGCTCTAAACCACCTTCAGATGATTTTCTGGCTAGCTCCAGTGATTGGACGGTCACCTCTTGTGAACTCCAACGACTCTTCAACCGTCCTGTGCCTTCCAACAATATTTCGATCACAACATGCAGCCACCTTCAATCGCTAGCCATCATTTTTGGCAACTTATCAAAGATGTTTCTTTATTTTTGTTTTACTAGTTTACAAAATATGTGTACACCAAACTAGTGTTTTTTATTTATTTATTTGTTTATTATTTAAATAAAACAACAAAAAATATTTAACTGACAAATTCAAAATTCAGTTGCTAACTACAAGACAGTGGACCAGTGAACCTAAGCCAAATTCCTTTTGCTAGGTTTGAGTTGAACTCAAGTTATCTTACAATAAAAATGAGGGGAGAACTGAGAAGAAAATGATTGCCTACTTATGTAAGGAGCTCACTATAGGTGAGTTTTATTTTTCATTATATATATATATATATATAGACCATTTAGACCATTTATTACTTCGATCAAACCTGATTTTGTATTCAAAATATTTTATTTTTTCTCTATTTTTATTGAAAGATGATTATATATTATTGTTGATCCATCTTTATGTTATTTTAATTTTGGGCCCCCCTCCCAATAAAACCATATAAGTTTTATATCTTTTATTCAGATTGTGTTTGAATCATGTTTTTTAATAGAAATTTAGAAGATAAACGCTAATCACTTCTCTACTTTTTTTACATAGAATAATTTTACACATATTAACAATCTAACTAAAAATACAAAAAGTCAAATATGATTAGTTAATGACATTTGAATATCTAATGATATTTAGACATATATGTTCTTAATAAAATTATTAGTAAACTTTTAAGTAAATATAACATCGCTCTTATTTAAAACATGTCCTATAAATTCAGATGAAAGGGGTAGCTATTACAATAGTAATGATTAATAAAGTACCAACAGCAACAATATTCCCAAGAAACAAATCAAAACAAACCACCTAACTTTTCTTTAGTAATTTGATCTTGGTGCTCAATCATTTGGGTTGTTAAATGGTTCGTTAAGTAGAGTTCCATTTTTATTCACTTCCAAATTATTCAAATTCTCAAAACTACACAGTTCTACAATTCGCTGTACAATCCCTTCACTCTTTTCTTCAAAAGAGAAAGGTTGGCCCAAAAACTCAACTAATTTCTTTACATGAATAGGTGCATCCCTTTTCATGTCCTTTGTAATTAGTTGAATCAATTTGAATTTAAAATTTAATCTCAGTTGAGATTTGTTTTAAATTATTAAATTATATTTATTTTGAACTTAATTGATTGAATCGTGACCCGTTAGTAACCATGAAATATTGTTGTGGTTTTATTATTATTATTTGATTACCATAAAAGAGTTGTGAATATTTATGATCCATACCTTTAAATGAGAGTTAAATTTTGTGATAACAAAAATTATACCATTTTATAATTTTGTGTTACAAAATTTTATAATTTTGCTATATCATAATTTTAATTGTAAATATTTTTATCAATTTAAGGATAGAACCACGTGGGGTTTGCTAGCCATGCCTTTTTTGGGTGATTGATTTGCCACTTGCTTAGCTTTTGTTTATATATAATTTTTTAATCAATTTCTCTGCCAGCACAAGGTAGAGAAATAAGGAGACTTGGATTGCTTTTGTTTGTTTCCATCAACCTCTCTCTCTCTCGGTTATCTCTCTCCTTTTGAAAGTTTTTTCTTTGGTTATTTTTTTTATATATAAAATCCTTAATTTATCAAAACCTGTTAGGTTTTAAATCTTAGTTCCATAGATCAAATTGTAGACGGTTTCGAGGGCTCCAATTTAATCTGAACGAATCGAAATTTTGTCGCTGGAAATTTTTATTTTCTTGGAAGCTCTTGGATCGAGGTAGGAATTTTTCCTATACTTCTTTATGTATTTTTACTTGATTATATAGAACTTAGAGTTGTATATAATTTAATTAGAATTTTTAAAAAATTTGTGATTTATTTACTTAAAAGAGAAATTTTGAGAAAAATAAATAGTTGATGCCCAAATTGCGAAAGTATAAACTTGGAATATGTTTATAAGGTTATGAAAGAGTTATGTGTTGAATTTGAACAAAAAGGGACTTCGACTTGATCGGTTTTGAAATTTTTACGGGTTTGCGACCAAAATAGTATTTTTAAAGAAAATAAAGGAATTATGTTTAACTTTTAGAGCTTTTGATTAAAATAGGATGTCATAGTTGAATAATGCTTGGAGAATGAGTTTGGAAAGAAAATGATGTTTTCTTGGGCATTAACGGTATTATTTTGCTTAATGTATCTGTTTGAATAAAACTGACACGGTTAAAAATGGACCTTGAGAGGTTACTGGATGTGATTGTGATACAAAAACTAATGTAGTTGTTCATATTTGATGAGATGTGGAACATATTGTATTTATCAAAAATTTTAGAATTTAATTGTTTAAATATCTATTTAGAAATATCTGTTTTGGGCTATCGGTGGAGGATAGCCATGATTGTTGTAGAAATGCGTAAGACTTAGGTAAATTGAACCACATTTCCTCATTTTTTGCATTGGACATTGCATTACATTCATTTCATTGGAAATGTATCTGTTTTTGAGAAATGTTTCTGTTTTTGAGAAATGTTTTGGAAATGTATCTGTTTGCGAAAAGATGAATACTTGGTGAATCTGGATAGGGGGTGTAGAACTGCTCGGTTAGGTGTCAAGCCTTCTAGTTTATTGGTAAAACTGACAGTGGTAGTGCATTAGGGCCTACTTGCAGACACTCACCTAGAGATTCACCGAACCTATATTCATGTAACAGATATGGTTTAAAATGGAAATAACTTTATATCTGTTGTTGCATCTCAGCATTGCATGCTTTATATAAAAAGAGAGATAAACTGTTTTATCATGAGCATGGCATGAGCATACTCCTCTTTAGTCTTGTCAAGGTTCATATGTTGTGTAGTATATCTCTACTGAGCTGTAGCTCACCTTATAAGGGAAACCATTTCAGGTTCAGGTGCTATGCCTCCGCCAAGGCATTGGCTTGGGAGGACTCAGAGCTGAGGCTTCATTTTTGTTTTATTGTTATTTGTTGAATGTAAGCCCAGGCTGTATTTGCGTTGAGTTTAAACTCCATTTTGTTTAACCAAGAATGTTCTTGGATAAATTTGTAAGCCTGTAGGACACTTATTATTTGTTTGATTTTTATTTCATATTTGTTGTAAAAATGCATGATTGGGATTGGAACTGGGGCATTGAGATGTGAACAGTATACATTTCACATTTGGGATTTAACGGAAATGGATGTATGAAATAGTTAGCTATATATATGTGTTTGTCTATCAGGTAGATTTTGTTACATAAATAGATATATCCTGCCCAATTTTTTGCGCGTTACATCCTTATAATTCAAGATCAACACTCTCTCAAGACAAGCCAAACTTGCTTTCTAGTATCCCAGCACATGATCCCAAAAAGGTCCATATGAAGAGATCCCTTTGCAAAACATGTCAAATACCTCTTCTAGAGAGAGGGATGAACATGGTAGATTATTGGTTTTCAGCTTAACTGTGAAGTGCTACATAGAGGTGAACACATCTTTTGGGTTTCGACAACGTACACTATTCGACAACCAAAATTTCGAATAGACTTGGGCAATAAAGTATAAGGGATGTAGTTAGAAAAAGGCAAGGCGAGGGCAAGTCCTCAGCATTTGCAATGGGAGGTGTCCTTAAAAAGTATTTCTAAGAATGGAACACAATCATGGGGGTTAGTGGTGAGTAACGAGTGGGCAACAGACATGCTATTGTAACTAGTTCTCTTCACGATTGCAAAAGCAATGGCTTTAAGCTATGTTGTGCCAAATTTAGGTGAGGAGATCAAGAGAACATCAGTAGGCCGAGGCTTAAAATATTGTTGAATAAACATGAGTCCTGCTAGGTTATACATGGGGGCAAACCAAAAACCTTGATATTGACAGAGATGCAGACTTATCCAACCCTTTTCTTTTGAAAAAGATGAGATTACTTCCTCATAGTTTTTGTAGATTCTCTCGATCTTTTCAATTTTCTCATCCTTATGATCTTCTTCATTGTTAGTTTTGCTGATGGAAGAACTTTGGGAGGGAAGAATGGCTGCCATAGCAAGATAAGAACTAGATCTGTGGCAAATACAGATGTTCTACTATGTTAGAAACTTAAAGAAGCGACATGCTTTTATGTTAAAGAGAAATTTCATAACACTTACCAAAGGAAAAGAAAAGTAGGAAAGCTTACAAGGGTCGAAGAACACGAGCACAAAGGTCTTCATTATAAAGGTAGAAAGTACTCTACATGGCAAGCCTTTATATGTATTTATAATATTGTTTGCAAATATATTTATCAATTTAATTATAACTTTATTCTAAATATATATTTTTAAAATAGGGTGCATGGTACAAGTTATGTGCTTAGTATATATGTATGGTTGTGCAAATCTGGTTTGGTGGCATTAAAATCAACTTTGAACATTAATTTATCAAAACTATCCAAGTCTCCATGAGGATCACATGCAGGGCCTAAGTTTAAAATATTTGATAATTTTTTAAGTCTTTAGCTGATGCATTAATCAACTCGGACAAAAATATAAAGTGTACAATTTTTATTCATCAATACAGAAATTAAA